GCCACCTGATCCTTCTTAAAGGTTGAATATGGTACCAACACCATTCAATTACTGAAGTTCCCATCTCTCTAACTCATGGTGTGACCTCATTCTGAAACAGAGTAATTGCAAATGTGTGTAGCTGACATGGAGCTCACAGAGGTTTGGGGAGGCCCTCTACTCCAACATGATTGGTATCCTTATAAACAGGGAAAATTTGGGTAGAGATGTACACTTAAAGAAAATTTCATGAGAAAACAGTAGCAGAGATCCAAGTGCTGAGTACATGCCAAGGAATGCCTGAGAAGGCCAGCAACCAGCAACGGCTGGCAAAGAGGCACACAACAGATCTGCCCTACAGCCCTCATAGGAAGGCAACCCTGCCGACACTTCATTTCACACTTCTCCTCCCGGGGACTGTGAGATAAGGACTTGCTGGTGTTTCAGCTGCTCAGTCCTGGACACTCTGTTATGGCAGCTACAGAAACTACCTAAGCCGCCTCTATTAGAGACTCATACGCAGGCAATTGGATAGTTCTAAACATTTTGGCTGCTAGTCACCTGGGTAGGAGGCAGTGGTCTGCTTCCTTCTGACCTGTTCTGATCTCTTTTATCCATCTAGATACATAGAGGAAAGGGGGTTACATACAGAAGCTGACACTGTCAATACCTTAGAAACAGTGTGCAAGAAAGTCTATTTTTAATACCTGTGAATATTTTTATATATCTCTATGTATATTTATATAAGGAGATATTTATATATACGTAGAGATATATGATTCCATCATACATGAGTCATGTCAGTTCATTTCGCTCAGAGCTAAAGACTTAAATTTCACATAGTGACACACTGTGTGTAGTCATAGACTTACTGTTTCATTCATATTAGCTACAGTATCCATACAACTAAGAATCTGATTAAAGTACAAGAAATTGATATGTAATTTGGCTATTTAGAAACTATTATTTCATTTTTCTATATAAGTGAGGCATTATATGGTAGTAATAAAGTTGTTAATACTGTTGAAAGAAGCCTTAATGAATCAAGATTTTGAAAGTCATTTTCACTGCTGAGGATCACCCCAATGTGTAAGATTTTTTTCTGGTGGCAGTAGTTTTACATTCAAGTTCGGTTTGTAGGTAGTCAGCTAGTGTTTCAGTCTTTTGTCCTTTCCTTGCTATGTCCGCCATCACCTGTTTATTTCTTACATCATGCTTGTCATCCTGGCCCTGAGACACAATCAAGTGGCTGCCAGCTAAGAGGATGAGGGCTCCATCTAATGTGATACTGAGGTTCGGTTTAGGCACCAGCCTCACATGCTGACAGAGCTCTGGAGGTTGAGAACCCAATTCATTTCCATTAGCTCTTTTTCTTTGGTGAGTGCTTCCCTCTTCCTGGTCCACTGAAACATCTTCTTTGCTCCAAATAGAATTTTCTCCCCTTCTGGTTCATTCTAGCAGGACAGAGCCCACTAGAATGTAGAGTCTCATACACAGAGAATCTCATGGTTTCCTAAGGAATTTGCTGCTAATAACTGAGGGGACAAATACACGATCAGTAAAAAGCAACTCCCCTATGACCAGCTCACCTTTGTCTACTCAGTCTAGGAAAGACGGAAAGTTACCTCCAAATGCTGCAATGAGCAGATGTAGAAAAAATGTCAAAAAAAAAATCTCTGTATGGTCATGGATGCTCTTTAGGATAAGTTTTAAACATGTCAATCTGTCTTTTTATTTTTCTTTTATTTTTGTATGATATGCATGTTTGTGTCTATGTGTGTGTTGATAGGAGTATGTCTGTATGTTTATTTATTTATATATGTGTGAAAGACTGTATATACCTATGCAGACATACATATATCTTCATATATCTATTTATAACTCACCTTTCATACACAGGAGCTTCAGTGATGATTTCTATCACGTCCCCCTCGTTTTCACTAAGAGATATGTAAGAATACAGTCAAATATAAAACATAATTCTAAATTTACTGTTTGGGATAAATTGGTACAGATACTGGGGTATGCACTCTTTGATTTTTCAATCTTCATGTGTGTGTCACGAATTCAATATAAAAGGTAATTGTTTACTATATATGAGACATTCTCTACTGGTAACAATTATCTCAGGCCTGTGAAATAGTAATGCTTCCAGATTTAAGTCGAGGAAAGGTCCAAATTATTCTCTTACTCTCAAGGCATTATAGACTGTCACCCTAAGTCACAGGCTCCATCCAATATCAGAGTTGGTTGGAGGCACCAGTGTTACCGTGTTTCCCCCAAAATAAGACAGGGTCCATTATTTATTTTTCCTCAAGAAGACTCCCTAGGGCTTATTTTCAGGGGATGTGTTATTTTTTTTTTTTAAGTACGGTACAATGATGTACATTTATTTAAATATAGTTAAGTCATCATCTTCTGGAACTTCATCATAACTATCCAAACCCCAAATTCCATCCTGAATTTCTTAACGATTCTATTTCCTTTAGAACCATTGGCCCCAATCTCTCATGTCGAGCAATAGCGCTCTCATGGGGCAGATGAGAAGGGCTACTCGTCTTCTTTACCACTCCACAACGAAATGCATGGATTGTGCAGATACGCTGCATAGCCAACCCATCACTAGGTCTTATTTTTGGGGTAGAGTTTATATTGTGCAAATGCTTAGAAATCCTGCTAGGGCTTATTTTATGGGTAGGTCTTATTTTCAGGGAAACATGGCACATGGTAACAGAGCTCTTGAGGGTGACGAACATATCCAAAGTCTACTAGCTTCATCTTTTCTGCTTAGGGCTCTACTGCTCCATTTCACATTACCTCTTCCTTGATGCCAGATAGAATTTCTCCCCACTTGTTCCTTATTAAAGATAGAATATCCTACCCAACGCCCCACCTCCCCAGGCCCCCTCAGGCCCAATTCAATTACTGAAGTTCTAATGCCTCTAACTTATGTAACCTTATTCTCAAAAAGAGTAATTGCAAGCTTGCGTAGTTAAGATGGATGACATAGTGGTGTAAGGTGGGCCCTTCATCCTATATGATTGGTATCCTCATAAGGAGGGAAAATTTGGCACAGATGCACACACACATGCATAATTTCATGGGAAGATGGAGGTAGAGATGTGGGTGAAGAGTCTACATGCCAAGGAATGCCATAGATTTCCAGCAACCAGCAAAAGCTATCAGAGAGGCACAGAACACAGTCTGCCCCACAGCCCTAATAAAAAAGCCCACCCTGTCGACACCTTCAGTTCGGACTTCTGGGATCTAGGGCTGTGAGATAATAAAGTTGTGGTGTTTCTGCTACCCAGTTTGTGACACTTTGTTACTGCAGCCTGACGAACTACTATAGTCCTGTCTACTAGAGTCACTGCCGAACTTATTCCCAATATGTAACAGTCTTTTTGCAGTGTGATTAGTTTTAAATGCATCTATTGTTTGCAGGTGGTCAGCTCTGTAATTCCATCACATTTGCTGCTTCCTATGTCCCTCCATCACCTCCTTACTTTGCTGCTTCATGCTTATCTTCCTGTCTATGAGAAACGATCAATGAACCGCAAGCTAAGAAGACAAGAGGTCCATATAATGTGACAGTGACGTTAAGTTTAGACACCAGCTTAACATGTTGACCGAGCTCTGGAGTGAGAAACCAATCCAGGTACTATTAGCTCTGTCCTCTTTCCTTAGTCCTTCCCTCTTCCTGGTCCATTGCAACCTCGTACTTGCTCAAAAGGGACTTTCTCCTCTCCTGGCCTATCTGAGTAGGTGAGGGTGCACCAGAATGCAGAGTCTCATGTGCAGGGAAGAACGTTGTTTCCTCAAGAATTGGCTAGTAATAACTAAGGGTGAGAGATACACTAACAGGAAGAAGCAACATTTCTGGGACTGGCTCCCCTTTATCCATCTCAATCTATAAATGATGAAAATTACCTCCAAATGCTACACTGAGAAGATTCTTAAACAATGTCATAAGAACACTCTGTACGAACATGAATGCTCCTGACGGTAAATCTGGCAAATGCCAATGTGTTTCTTCAATTGTCTTCTATTTCCTTGGTTTATGGATGTTTGTTTATGTATGTATGTTGACACTAGTATGTCTGTACATATCATTATTTATCTATGTGCATACGTTTGTAGGTATCTACATACATACACACATACATATATTTCTATTTATCTAATTGAACTCACACTGGTTGGCTGTGTCCATCCAAGGCTACTTCTGTAGGTTTGCCCATGTTAGGACTAAGGAAATATAAAACAATAAGGTCAGATTCAAGACATCACTGTAAAGACATCACTTTTTCAGATACAGCATTACAGTTACTCCTGGCATGAACTGGGTGATTATCTTTGTATTTGTGCATATTATGGGGGTACAAATGTATAGGTTCCATTTGCAACCCCCCCTTCATCAGAGCTTCAAGCGTGTCCAATACCCAGATGGTGCCCATCGCACTAATATGTATACCCATCTCGTCCTCCCACTTCCCATCTGCCAGATACCTGATGAATGTTATTCTTATATGTCCACAAAAACAATGTGATAATGAGTATATGTGGTGCTTATTTTTCCATTCTTGGAATACTTCACTTGGTAGAATGGACTACAGCTCTATCAAGGATAATATAAGAGGTGCTATATCACCATTGTGTCCTGTAGCTGAATAGTACTCCATGGGACACATACACCATGTTTTATAATCCACTCATGTAAAGAGAGAGATCCCTCTTTCTTCTCAGGCTGAATTCAATTACTGAAGTTCTAATGCCTCTGATATGTAACCTTATTCTCAAAAGAGTAATTGGAACCTGTGTAATTTAAATGGATGACATAGTGGTGTAAGGTGGCGCCCTCATCCTATATGATTGGTATCCTCATAAGAGGGAAAATTTGCACAGATGCCACACACATGCATAATTCATGGGAAGATGGAGGTAGAGATGGTGGTGAAGAGTCTATATG